TGAAAAAGTTGAAGCCCAGGTTTAAGAGAAAACCTGAGGATGTTTGTTCTTATTGGCAAAGTCTATTATGAAAGTGCAAATGCTTAGACTTGTCTCCTCAAGCCTGGCAGTCAGGACTCTGACCCGGTCACCCCCCAGCTCAGGGCACCTTTATTTAGGGAGGGCGCAAGAAGGAGCATGAAGCCTCAGCTTTCCTAGCATCCCTAATCCTCTCACATGATGGGGGGGAGGGGGGAAGAAAGGCAGGTCTTTCTTTCATCTGCTCAGGGACCCCAAATAAACTAAAACCATAGCTTTATGCTCTATAAAGGCATAACATCTAGCAAATCTCGGTCAATCCCTATTTCTGTTTCAGGCCAAATGGCCAATGCAATAGGCAGCTAAGAGGGCAGTGACGGGGGGGTTTGGGTGGTGGCGTCTGTCCACTAGTTCCAGAGAGGTTTTTACAAACCTCCTTCTTGACTCAACGCTCACTGAATGTGGACTAACCAGAGTTACACGTCAGTTTTTACCTGCTTGCCTCCTCACCAGCAGGGGATAAACCACACTCAGAAGGCCTTTATCTATGGAGGTTGGGATCATTCCTTACTTGAGCTGAAATAATCTGGGTCTTTACAAAGACATTTCAGTATCACTAGATGTTGGAGGAGAGCAAGGTGGCTCAGTTATGATCAGAGCAATTCCCTGTTCTTTGAAAATAGATTTGGGCTGCTTATTGTAATATTTATATTTTGCAAAGCAGGTGTGCTGTAAACTAAGGCAGATAGTTAAAGATAGTCTATTTTTTTGTCACCAAAACACACTACAGCAGTGCTTTGGGCTTAAAATAAATTGAGAAACAAATGATACCAGTCGAAAACAATTTCTCAAAGTTCCAGTTGCTATTTTAGTGTCTCCGTGTCTTTTTCGTCCTCTGCTCAACTAGACTCTGAAGCTGGAAACAAACAGCACCATGTTGTTCTTAGGAGGCAGTGTGGGGAAATGGATTTTTTCCAGATAATAATCAAAGTCCTCTGTCTGAAAGGAAGAAATTGACTGGACTGATTGAGTGGCCCAAATGTATGCCTGGCTATTGAATATTACCATCTTTCTTGTGGACTGGAGTCTAAAAATCCATCGGAAGTGTAAGTCAGTGGACGGGGCTTCAAAATCTCAGCTCCTCCACTTAGTAACTACACTAACTTGGGCAGGGTGTTTAATCTCTCTGAGCCTGTTTTGTCATCTCTGAAACCCAAAATTTAAAAAAATCACTTCATTAAGACTCACAAGAGATATAGATGAAAAAATGACATGAAAATGCCTGGTACAGTACCTGGCACACAGCAGGTAGGTATTCAATAAAGGCAGCAAAATACAAAACCTTCCCATGATATTCAGAGCCCTGTTATTTGGCCTGGTTCTCACTTTCTGCAGGAGCCACTCGAGGTGTCTTTAAACTCTTTGCACATGCTCTGTTTTTGCACCTCTGAGTTCCATACTATTTTCTCGAGAGCTCTCCCCAGGAAAGCTCCATATTCATTAATGTACGTTGCCTGCCTCACCCTGCAAGTCCCAGATTTATATGTCATTTCCTTGGGGGAGCTTTCCCAGATAACCTAGTTGAGGTTAAAACGCCTTGCTACACAATTCCACAGTACTCTGGTAACATTCAAAATGCACGTAAGTACATGTTTAACATCTGTCACCCCTGTGACTTGAAGTAGATGAACACAAGTGCTCACTAAACACCTATGCATTGAATTGTTTCCTTCCTAAAAGAATGAATGAGCTCTGGAGCAGAAGTATTGCTTTTAAAATTCATTTAGGAATCAGAAAATCCAAGGTATTTATTTGGCTTTAAAGCTCATTGAGTAGAACTAGCCTCTTGGAAGCACACACTGAGTCTGCCCCTGAGTAGGTTACAAAGAGATCATATTTCATACCATTCAGCTTGTCTGTCAAAATGTAACATCCCTCCCTGGGGAGGGAGCAGCCCAATTCCCCAGCTGGTTTTTATTCACACTAGAAACTTTAACTCCCGTTCTAGGCCTCACAAAATGAGAGCTGTGTCCACACAAAGCCACAACAACTAGCCAATTCACTGAATCCAATGAAATAAGCCAATTCACTTGGGGGGGAACGGGACACACAAACTGTCAAACTGGCTACTTGGTGCCTTATAGACCAAACAATGCGTGATTGAATCGGTTTGCTTTTCAATAGGTTGTCTTGTCATGTGGTAGCTCCAGTGAGTGAAAGATTTTCTTTATCATTGTTTTTTTTTTAAACACAAAAATTAGAGCACATAAGATAGAAGGGTAAATAACCAATAATGGCTTCTCTTTAATCCGTCGTCAAACACACTAAATTCAGCAATTCGAGCTTGCCCAAAAGGCACATTTTGTGGAACAAGGCACCCCAGCCGGTTTTTGGCTTTAAAATAAGACCCTGCCGGTCCTGATCTCCTCTTTGCAAACGCATGGCACTGGGAGACAGAGACCATGTGCAACAACAACTCTTTACAGACAAAGCATCTATTCATAGACCCCACTGAAGTGCAATCGTAGATTTTCAATTTCATTCAGCTGAGTGCGGAAGGCTCCCACTATGAGGGTGGGTTGCTAAATGGTTCAGCTGGGAAAAGGACCCGGAATGAGAGTCAGCTCTACAGTCTGCACTTTCATTAGTAAAAATGAAAGCGAGTCCCTCACTCCAAGTCCAATTTTACAGTAAAGAGCTAATCTAGCAAATGAGCCAAGAGGCTGAGCAATTTCTCTTTCTCCACATCAATCCGGTACCCAGAGCACAGCTTTTTTTGTTGTTGTTGGGATGGTTGCTAAGTACTGAAAAAACAGCTAAGTAACACATAGGGTTAAAACTTGCACAAAGGGGAGGGATAATGTTGGTCCCTCAAGCCCACAGCTAGACCAGACCAGTTCTCTCCTTTCTTTGAATACGACATGCATTTTTTCATCTCCCAGACTTTCCATACCTTTTTCTTCAAGATCTAGTTAAATAATATCGTAACTAAAGCTTATCCAGCGTGCAGTACGCTCAGTGTTTTCCATACATAATCTCATCCAATTCCTAACAACCCTAGGAGGAAGGTGCTACTTTGTTCGTTCCCTCCTTCTGCAGAAGGGATGTGGAGAGGTGAATCATGTGCCCAAAGTCCCAGTGAGGAAGTGGAGGAGCTGGAATTTAGCCTCCCCACCCCTTTCCATTCCCAGAGCCTGGGCTCCTAATCACACACTGCACCACCCTCATCACCCCCAGCATGGGATCTCCTCTGCCCTGACATAGCGCTCCCTGGGGAGACCACCTATTGTCATGATCTGCGTAGGTCTTGCTGCCTCAACTGAGTGCTGGTCTGGCAAGAAGGAGCCGTGCCATGCCCCCCGGTGTCGTCTGGCATGCAGGAAGCACTAGGTGTGTTTTCCATTACCGGCTGGCTCCCCCTCACTTCAAATAAATACTTATTGCTTTGTCATGCCAATAAAAATCAAAGGCCAAATCCCCCATGTAGAGGCTGGCATGACATTCTCTGGCCCATGGTATCTTGCTTTTCCAGTAAAACAAGTGTCAGTCTGTGTTAATGGCAGCAATTTTAATTGGAGGTTTGCTCCAACCAGGAAGAGAATCAAAGCATTGCTTATCTCTGCATTAAGATGACAAAGCAACTACACTCATTTCAAAGCACTATTTTCCAAGGCAGGAAAAGACAATTTCACCTTTTACTCACTCTTTCCAAAGGATACTCCTAAACTGACTCTGGCACGCTACTGCTCTTGGGCCAGAGGTATCATTTTTATTTGACTTGAAGAGGTGTGGCCCACATAACTAAGACAGACGGGAAGACAATCACGTCTTGCATGCTGACCCAGCAACCCTGAGCAACAAAGTTCTTAGGTAAAAAGTGCTCATTACCAGCATGAGTGCAGCTATCTCTGAGGCTCACCAAACCCAGCTGTTTTCTGCTGAGCCTACACAGTGCAAGCTCGTTAAAGCACGGCTTGTTTGGGAATGTGTTTTAAAAGCATTATTTTCAACAGGTATTAAAAATGTAGAAGTCACGAAAACAGTTATAATTCACAGCGTGCTATTATGCCACCTTCCTAATTCCCAGGTGTGCAAACACCCCCACAAATTAGAAGACCGTCAGCATTTAGATAAGCTGTTCTGGCAACCCTGGGAGTGGAGGAGGAAGAGAAAACAAAAACAGTCAGAATGCCTGGGTCCCAGTGTCATTACACAGGAGAGCCTTAAAGAAATACTGGGAGGCAGGTCAGGCTTCTCTCTGGCTTCATGTTTTTAATGGGTCTGTCTACTGCCAACCCTCAGAGAACAAAGTACTGAAGGTGGATGGAGGAATCCAAGTGGAAAAACCAAATGGAGGGGAAATCAGGCAGGAGAGAATGCCTACAGTTATTGATATTCAGTTCAGACTGAGACGGGAACAGAACACATGATGATACTGTCCTGCCCCTTTTGCACACTGGAAACGTGGGACAGGTTTAGAACTCGCAGTGGTAAGGTCCTTATTTTTCATTTATGTACTTGAAAACCCTTTAATGATTTGTGTGTGCTAATAAAATAATTCTCAATTTTTCCTAAAAAAATTGCAGTAACCTTATGGGGAAGGGGAACAAGTAGACTGAGGCACACAATTTGGGATTCTGGTGTTTCAGTGAAAGAAGAGCAAGCATATCGTCACGGACTTGGCTACCTGTCAGGACAGTGGCAAGTTCAACACATCTGCTCATTTTGGTGATTAATTAAGTATCATTTTGAACAGAGACAACTTGGGCTGTCTATCCAAGGCCTTTACTATTAAGAGCCGCCAGTAGTAGCTATCAGAAACACTGCTTACTTTTTTAATGATACGTCAAAGAGTACATACACAGAGCAGATTTTTAATTTTTACCAAAATAAGTTGTCCCTGGAAATCATCATCATCATCAACTCTCACCGAGACACTGTTCGAGCCACTCCCATGACTCGTTTCTAAACTGGCGTCTTACCTTAGTGTTTCTTCTTAGACTGCGAAGAATATTCCTCCTCCTTGGGTCTTCATCTGTTTCATACGGAATGACAGCATTGTCCCCTTTATAACCTTGGGATGCCTGGTCCTCCTCTTTCTTCCGGATGGGCCCCAGCTCATCGTCGCTCCCCACACTGAAGCTGGTTCGGTAACTAGCAAACCTCCCCAGCCGGCTGCATCTCGTCCTGTACAGCACTGGCTTGCTCACGATGGATATTTTGCGGCCTCGCTCTAAAGAGCTGGTGTCCATTTCACTGTCGGAACCATTCCCACTGCCGTTAGACTGGGCTTTGTTGATATTCCGAATGGTGATGATCTTGCCTTGGGTGCTGTCATGGGGCACTGAGTATATGTTTTCTTCTTCATTCCTTGGCTTGACCACAGCATCCATGGGTTCGGCGTAATCAGAAGGATCGAACCCATCTGGAGGTAACCAGGTGCTAGAAGACACAGACTTCCTTTGTCCATCTCTATGGCCTTGGTCTAAGTAAGACAAATCCCCCTTTGTAATTTCAAAGTGGACAGGAGGCTTTGGTTTGACTGGTGGAGGTACTTTGTTGTTCAGTTTACTCTCAAAGTTGCTCATGATGAAAGACAACCCATCATTTACCTCCAGTTCCATAGAGAGCTTGGAATGGTCTTTGGGCAGGGAGGGCAGTGATGTGTCTTCTCGAAATAGGCTGTAAGAAGGGGGCTCAATATCCTCTTCTGAATCCTGCAGGTTTGAGTTGCAGAGCGGAGAGCCTGCCCGGGGGGAGTTAAACACCTCCTCTGTGGTGCTACAGGCCTCGGCAACATTATCGTACATATGAGTAGCCTCGATTATGTTCTTTTTCTCCACCACATCTTTAAAAAATGGGTGGAAGAGCTCAAGTTTATGCTGGGGTTGGCTACAGGGGATGCTTGTGAACCTGCCATCGATTTCTTGGGCAATCTCCTCCCCCTCGGTCAGCTGTTCCCGACTTAAGTCATTGTCCAAGACATCTATAGCGCCGTCAGTGAGTGCAACCAGCTGAATGGGGATAATATCCTGCACTTCACAAAGAAAGGCACGTAGCATAGCCAAGGAGGCCTTACGTTTGGCTGAATAAAAAACAATGTACCCATGGACCAACCGGCTTTTTCTGATGCTGAACGAGGAATGGTATGAAAGAATAGATAGTTCAATGCGCTTCTTGTGTAGTCCGATTGGTAGTTCAAGTAAAACAGAGTTGTTGCTTCCACAATGGGAAGATTTACAGGTTTGGGACTGAAGGACAGGAAAGAGTATGTCGTCTGCACTAAAAGGATCTCCACACATCAGACACATGACAATTCGCAGGTCAACATCAGCTAGATCTTTGATGCTGGCAGTAGAACTGACCAGGTTTAAGTTACGCTTAGAGTCCAGGAGTCCTTTCAAAACTTGACTGATCTGCTTTTCATTAATGTTGCGTCCATAACCAATGCCAGCAGAAGCAGGGTCCAGAAAGACACACTGAAGTTTGCTAGCAATCTGCTGGCCTTGCTGTATTAAGCTATGCAGGGTCTCTCCACTGGTGTCTCCTCTTTTGTTAACCAAAATTAACGTCAGGGGGAGATGGACTAAATGATTATCTCGCCTGCCAAGTGTGGACTCTCTACTCTTCTCTATACTCTCCACCACATAGGACAGAGATTCCTTTGAATTGTAGAGGCAGAGACAACCATGGGGCTGAAATGTTGGCGTCTGAAAAGAGTTCACAGGAAGCCTGACATTCCCTTCTATTGGCCTCAGGGAAAGCTCATACATTTTACCATCTATCACATACTTGTCATCATTTGTACAAAGGGCTCGAATCTCATTGGCCAACTCTCGGGCAAGACCATCTTTGCCCAAGATAACCAAGTTAATTCTATCGATGTTGGGGTCAGGGAGGGAATTTTTCTGATTCCGGTCAGATGGCCGAATAAACCGAGAACTAATCAAGTGCTCAATCTTAGCATCCACACAAGCTGGGCAGCTAGGGCACGTTTCCTTTGTTGGGTGGTACACAAAATGAATGTGCTTCAGAATAAGGGCATCGCGCTCCGCTTGGAGCTTCTGTAATGCTTTAAATCGCTGTTCCTCCCCCAGAACATCCTGAATGACCCCCATCTTCTCCTTGCTGGGCTTTGCATCCAGCTCCAGCTCATAGAATAATTCTGAATATTCCAGAAGCAGCTCCTGAAACTCTTCCTTTGCTCTGTCTATAATCTGCTTTTGGTGTTTGCCATAGATATCCATATATACAGATTCTTCCAGCCACTGGTAGAAATCTTCATTCATGATGAAACTACGGGCCTCTTCCCAGGGTTTTCCAGGAGTGATGAAAGGCGAAGTCTCCAGGTTTTCTTTAAATGCTCTTCTCATCTCAGCTCTTTTCCTCTCATTCCGTAGTTTCTCTAAGTGGGCCTCATACAGCTGCTCTGCGGGAACTGTATCCATTAAATCAAAGGGAATCCGCTCGTTCTCCATGTTGTCAATGTGGCTGGTGGCATCCCACGGGGTCTCTTCAAGCACAACGAACCACTTTAAGAATTCTGACTTGGTCTCCAAGAGCTTTTTGGCTTTTATGCAGCTTAGGTGGTCTATTTCATCTAGATTGGGTATAAGAGCTTCAAAAGCTAGCGGCAGGGCTGCCAGGTACAACTTCCTTCTGCGCTCAATATGCTCGTGCTTGAGGCGGTGGATGTGCTGGAGAAACAGCTTCCTGGCTTTCTGAGTCCCTTCCAGGTAGACGTAGTCCTGGTACTCAGGAGAGGCCTGCATCTTTCGGCTGACACTTAGCCAGTTCTCATTGTGGTTTTTCACAATGCGACTCACCAGCCACTCGTATTTGTCTTTTGCCGTAGCTATCTGCTGACTCTGCTGCTTGAGAGCTTCAAAGTAAGGAATGATTTTCGTCTTTCCCCGACTTTTATCAATGAGTTGCACTAAGGTGCTGAAAGCCAAGTCCACGTTTACATTGGATCTTGCTGAGGTCTCCACAACCTGGAGGTTCTTTTTGCTTAAGGCAAAAGTATGTGCATCTCTAATGTACCGCTCAACGCCCTCATCACACTTAGTCAGGACCACCACGATGGGTTTTTTTGTTTTTGCAAGCTGATTGTAGAGATTGGAGACAAACTTGAGCTGGTCATCAAAGTTCCTATTCATGCCCCTGCTAACGTCAATACCAAGAAGAAAACCATCAATTAGCAGCTTTCCATCTGGCATTTGTTTCTGCTCAAAGTCCTGCTCCAGCCCCAGCTGGTCAGTGCAAAAGTACATGAGTTTTTCAGCTGATGCGAGCTTGGTGGCAGCAGCTCTCTTAATATAGGGCTGTAGGGCCGTGCTTCGATGAGGTTGAAAAGTCTGATCATCAATGAATTCAGTCTGCTCCACGATGTGCATCTTACATTCCACGCAATCCTCCAGGGATCGGCTAACTTCTCCCCAGTAGAGAAAGTGGTCATTATTGACCACTCGCCCACCAAAGTCACTGGTGCTGAGGACAGAGGTATGGTCCAAGTGAAATTCATCAGCACTTGGGCGCACGAAGCGGTTGCACAGACAAGACTTCCCAATGCCGCACTGGCCCTTCTCCTTCTCTGTCCCAGACAATCCCACCACACTGATGTTGTAGGTGGGAATGCGGACATCTTGCTTTCTTGCCATCATCATCGTCGACACATCCTGCCACAATCAGCCACTTCCAAGATCAGATTAGTAGTGTTTTCCACTGGGCCTGATGGCTTCCCAACATTATCAGTGGGGGCCAGCTGCCCACGCAGCAGAAGTATCAGGTCCCGTAGTGTTTGTATACCAGTATGAGGTCAGTTTTTGTCACTTCTCATCGCCCAAGAGCCAACATTTCTTCCTAGATGGGGGAAAAAAAGAAAGTCCATCAGCACCATCATTTTGGAACCCAATTATAATCAACGAACTATAGCAAAAATTGACTTTCTTTTTCAACAAATACTTATAGTAAACAGTGAATGTGCCAGGACTAATGCTGGATGAAGATGTAAGACTGAATAAGACTGACACTGATATACCCTCAGAGACAATGTCATCTAACAGAAGAAGACACATAAGCAAGCAGGTGTGCTAAGCGCTAAAGCAAGGGTTTGAGGGTTCCTTGAAAAAGTGGCTGATTCCAGGGACAGAGCAGGGTTGGTACAAGATGAGCCTGAAATATATTATTGTGCAAGAAAAGAAGCGCTCAAAAAAATGTAGGGTGCCTCACAAGGATGCAGGAGCCAATCAAAGGGGTTTCCTAAGGTCAAATCTGGGGTGGTCTGAGCACCGAAGTAATTAAGTATAGAAACAAATTATGACCCATTGCAAAAACAAACAAACAAACAGAAACTAACAAACAGAAACTTTCAGGTCATACTACCAGATCAGACAAGAATCGTCACTTGACGTTAAATAGGGGGAAGATTTTGATGAGGAGTAGGGTATTTGTGTGGAATTGAGGTGTCTTCTGAAAGACTACTTATTAGTTACAAAGAGAAGAATTTTGGAAAATCCACCAATTATACAGTGGAGAAAGTGGGCAATACTTTGGGTAATAAAAACTATCATCACCAAACAGGGCTAGAAGGACATCACAAACCTCCAGATGTGATCCCCCGGGAGGGCACATCGCTCTGCAGTATGACGGCCTAGGATCCACGAGCACATCTGACTCACAAGGAGATGTAAAACAAACACAAAATGAGCAAGATTCTGTTTTAAAAGGGGGGACACTCTATACTTTTCAAAAGATATCAGTGTCATAATTGACAAAGAATGGTTATGTAAACATTACAGATTCAGGGAGGCTAAAGAGACATTGTTAAGAAATGCAATCACCTGACCCTAAGCTGAATTTGGCCCCAGTAGGGGGAAAGAGGGGTGCTATATGGGACATTACTGGATCAAGTAACAACACTGGACTATAATGAAATATTAGATGAAAGTACCTTACCAATATAAATTTATAAAGTTGGTAACTATCATGTGAGAAAACAGCCCCGTTCTTAGTAAACAGTATTAGGGTGGGTGGGTGGGTGGTTGGGTGTGTATGGAGAAAGAATACAAATAAGATAAAAAATTACCAATAGGTGAATTTGGGCAAAGTGTAGGTTTCTTTGTATTAATTTAATTTTTGCAACTTTCTACAAGTCTGTAATTATTTCCAAATAAAAGGTTTTTTTTAAAAGGATGTAAATATGGAATGGTTTCCCTGACAAGAAAATAAGCTCCGCGAGGACAAGGCCCACTCCTGCCTTGTTCACTTCTGCATACTCAGCCTATGACACAGTACTTGACACAAATACTTACTGAAAGACTGAATAAATGAGTGACTATTAGAGGACTTTAGAGAGTCCCCAAGCCCACCCTTTCAGATCCAGGAAAGCCTTTCTGAAAGAAGTTCCACCCCAGGTGAGACGTGAAGTAGAGGAAATAAAGTGCGCAAAGACTCCTCTCTCCTCGGGGGGAAAAAAAAGCACGCCCGTGGGGGAACAAGGCGTGAAACAAAGTGTGTGTGGGGAGGGGATGGGGGAGCTGCTTCTGGCAAGTGAGCCACTTACAAAGAGTTTGGATTTTTCCCTGAAGGTTATGGAAGCACAGACAGTGGCTGAAAAGTGGCACCTCACAAGGTGTAAAGTTTGATTAGACGAAGTAATGCAATGCTATGATGTCTTAACAAAATCTTTAACAACTTGCCAGCTGAAGTAAGTCAAATGTGTAGTCTTTGGCTGCCCCTACAGAAACGGTCTTCTGGCGACTACTGTTCTTTCTTTTAAGAGGGGAGGGAATGGAGGGAGAGAATCATTGACGTGAGAGAGAAATATCAATTGGTTGCCTTCGGATGTGCCCCAACCATGGACCAAACCCACAAACCAGGCATGTGCCCTGACTTTCTTTCTGGGAATTGAACCGGCGACCCCTCAGTCTGTGGGACACCACCTAACCAACTGAACCACAACAGCCGTGGCCTGGATACTACTGTTTATACTGCACTGTCATCTACTTCAATGTGCAAATATGACTTTGCAACTGCTGAACCTGCAGCCAAATGAAGTCTCCTGAGATCTCCCAAAGAGGAGAATTTAAAATAAACAAACAGCAATTTTCTTTTGTATCTCATTTATGAAGGAACCCCGTATCTCTACAACCTTAATATGTTTTTGTGGCCTAGTTCATAAGAAATGGCACAGGAAACCAGACCACCACACGTTATTCTGACTGAGACAGGGGACAATGAATGGGGGAGCACAGTTGTCCCCTATAATAACTTCACAGGTCTTTCCCAAACAACCATATCTTCCTTTGATAACCCAGAAAGCCAAATTCTCTATGAAAACAAAATGTGACTAGGTGTGGCATGTAAAAATTATGCGACCATATTCAAAAGAGAAAGCTCAGCAACTGAGAGCAATCACCTCTTGATCACCTAGTGGCGTGCTCCTAAAGCAGCCAAGTTCCAGACTCCGGCGTGAGCAAGCAGGCATCCATGGGAGAGACAAATCAAACCTTCCCCGCCCCCAACCCCCTAGGGGACTGCTTACCTAAGTAAAATTATAAGATGCTTATCAATATCTAAATAAAGCATGTTTACATACATCCTCTGAAATACCTGAAGAGGAAAGCTGTGAACAAAGTCTAAGCGCTTTTGCACATTACTCTATAGCGCACATATGTAATTTTGTTTCTACCCACGAGGAGACCTGGTTTAACAGAGCCTCAGATGGGAAAGGTTTCAGGAAGTCAAGGGTGCTGCTCCCTTAACAGGGCCCTTCTCTATCAATTCTTCATCCCAGGTTCTGGCAGGATTCAAGGCCACCCACTTGATCAATCTTGAAATGCAACTTGGTGACATGGGTCCTACTTCAAGTGACTGCTCCATGTACCCTGCACATCAGTCCACTTATTCTCTGTAAAGTGGGCCAAATAACCTCCCTTCACAGAAATCTCAGGAAATCTGCTCATAAAACTCAAGAAATAAAGATACTGGCTCAATTTTGAACTAAACTAAAACGTATTTATCATCCATTTGACACTTATTTATAATTTTTTAAGTGGCATATCCTCTATGTAGTCCATTCAAGTCAAAGTCTCAGTCACCTGAAGGGAGCTAAAAAAAGGAAAGCAACATTTTTGACTCAGGAATGTAGCAACTGATTATTTTAAACCTAGAATGCTAACTGACTTTTAAAAGCTACCAAAAAAAAAAAAAAAAAAAAAAAAAGGGAAGAAAAAAAAGCTAGCAGGGGAGTGGTTAAGTTTTGGACACCCGGTAACTTTCTACTTGCTAGAAACCTAATAGGTTTCCTGGTATAAGTATGCTCTTCTTACAAATCTGTCTTTGATGTCTGGATAATGCAGTTTTACTAGTTCCTCAATTGGACTGAATTACACAGTAAACAAAGCCTGGTATAAATCTAAAAACGTCTCAAACACTTGGTTTAAAGGAAATAACCTTAAGTACTTGGTCACAAACACATTCAACTTTTTAAAGAGGAGAATAAAAAAAAAATAAGCTGAGTCACTGAATTTAATGAACTGAAGGCCACAAAGAAAGAGAAAGTAGAAGACAAGGCATGTCTGAGACTTCACAATGTCTTCAATTTAAATCTGATGGGAACCGGTATTCTTAGCAGGCAACTAAGCTTCTCAAACAGCAAAATCTCCATTCTAATAATCTGCCAATACTAATCCTTTTAAAACCAAAGAGTTACAGCAGAAGGGGGAAAAGTATTCTTTAAAACAGTAACTCCTTTTATCTTTGGGCTTTACAGAGCTACTTGTATTAAAAAAATAAAAACATATAACTTAACATTTAGTTAATTTTATGCCATAAGTCAACTACTTCAGAAAGGAAAATAATTCAGTATTTTCAGTTGTCACAAGTATATGTCACAAAAACATAATGCAAACATATGAGAGCTTTTTTGGAACCTGTCACCAACTCCTGGAGTTGTTTATATACCTGTTTGACCAAGACACCAGCTCCCCAAAGGGAGCCTCAACTGGAAGGCAGGAGGGGGACATTTTCTCTTTTAACACCTCGTCGGAACACCCAGGGCAAGAAGTGGTAACATTCCCAAGACAGCGCACACTTCACAGGGCACAGAACTGCCACTGTGATCCAGCATTACTAGGGCTGCTGCAGTGCGTACTGTCAACAACTCCATCCGGGTATTTTACCCTCCTACCCTGCAACCTCATGCCCCCCCCCCCCCCGGCCCAGGAGGAAACGTTTCTGGGCTCTGTGATCTGGGATGCTTGGTGATACACACAGAGGTCCACCACCACTGTCCATAACCAAAACTACAACCGCTCCCTACGAGAATAGTCAATAAATCCCTAAAATGCATTTATTTCCAAACAACCATATTTAGAACACCACCAAACTAATAATACTATAATATTATATAATAAGGAAATAACTTCATAGGGAGCAGCTAGCAAAGGAAGAAAATACTTGTTACCACAATTTTTCTTAATCCCAATAAAGCAAAAGGATGGAACTACATGCATTGTAACTAACAAAACAGAGTGCTTTCTAAACCTCATACTTAACACAAATTTCTGCATGGGTTTTCAAAGCTTTGAATTACCATCAGCAGCTGGCTAAAATGTTTTCATTAAGTAGATACATGATAAGATTCAGAGCTACAAGAGAGAGGAAGAACAAAACAAGGGCTCTAACTATTGGAAAACATTTTCCCTGTAACAGAGACTCCTTAAGGAGAATTTTCTAGAGGAATTTACTTTCCAAATGAGCCAGGAAGGATGGAATATAAAAGCTCAAGTAAGAGAAGAACACTACTCTATGGTCTGCTGAACCGCTGAATTTAAGCAAAGTATTCTCTAGTCCCGATG